GCGATTTGGAACCACTAGGGTTCGTGAAGGCATAATCATGACCTTTTATTGTTTATTTGTACTTGCATTTGTCTTGTCAGATGTAATTGGTCGTGCTATGAATCAACCTAATGCTGAAGTCTCAAAAGTATTTGGTGACTTTGTACCTTTCTTTTTTATGTTAGTTGTATATTTTTTAGGAGTAATAGTATTTATTTGGGTGGTTGTGGATGCCGTGGTAGCGGGTACAATGCACGGAAGTGGGGAGGGACGAAAGAGATTAGTTGGTGCGTTATCAGGTGCCTTTAGAATAAGGAGAGGATAACCGATTTTTATTTCTTTTCCCTTTTTTTTTTTTAAACAAACATTTGGGTTAATATTCAAAATTTCTGAATTATTTATTTATCGTTTCTTGGGCAATTGGGTATACATGAGTAGATTTAATTATTTATCATATTTGATCAAAAAAGAATGTTTTTTTCTCGATTTATTCACTTTCAAAACCTCTCCCCTTGTTCGAAATTATTATTTTACAATTTCACCTTTTTCTATTTACAAAATTCACAAGAAATAGTTATTAGTAGCGTTTCGTTATGTACATTTGTAAGATATATATAATCCATGTACGTTTTACACCGTTCTTTATATATATATATATATATATACAACTTTTAAAGTCAATATTTTTGTATTTAATCGATCATATGTATAATTTTATAAAATTGTAAAATTCAGGTGAGCACGTACTGCATAAAAATAAACAATGTACTGTATTAATTGTTTTTTTTTTTATTTATTGAAATGATCTGCCAAAAATATCGATGATTTTGTCGTCAAAAAATTATTTTTGCCTATCATCAAAAAGGAAATAGCGAATCATAGTAAATGTAAATGGTAAACTTATTATGATCATTACTAATCATAATTTTGTATTTACTATGACTGAATAGCGGCGTGATATTCGCGAATGGTGATATTTCGAACTGACGTATATTTGGACCCAATGACAATAATGTGCTATATATTAATCACGTTTTAAAGACCGGAAAATTTAGATTATTTCATACATCCTCACATCACCTTCAATGGTGAGAAGATCTTGACTGGCTCGATTGAATAAACCAAAATACAGTTAGGTGCAAGATTACGTGGATCCGAAAATTAGAAAAAAATCACCAAATACTCTCCGAAACCGTCTATCCATGTGATGCACCATCAAAACATCGTGTAATATCAACTCTATATTAATAATTTAATCTGCTGGGCTCATGCTGTCCCCGACGCTTTCACGATCCATTACGTCTTTATTGCTCCCACCATCACCATTGTCCACCCCATCCTTTACGTCTTTTACGTTACTACCAGTAGTATTGATTCCGTTGTGATCATTAGTCTGCATTTTTTTCATATGTATCCTTTCTTTTAGCTTCACCTTTAAAACCTCTTTGAGTTTTTCCTTGACTCTTAATCTCAATTTCTGCAATCT